TTTGCAGGATACCCCATCTCATCTGCTGCCCTCATTCTGTCAGCCTCTGCTACGCCACATTCTGCAAGACTGTAGAATTGCCTCTTTTTTTGCATTAAATATTGATGTCAGATCCCTAGTTTGAGGCAACTGGATTAGTGACAGAGCAATCTTTGATCCGTTGTTGATATCAGACTTGCAGTCTCATCTACAACTAAAGTGGTCCTTTCCCCAAACCTTACATCTGAACATCTCGATCCCCAAATGCAGCAACACAAACTTAGCAGGTATACTGAGCCATAGCCTGCATCCTCTGTAGGACCTACCTAGCACATTTAATTTCAGATATCTCAAGGAGTTATCCCAGACAAAAGTTTTCCTGAACAGGAGCAACCTTGTAGAAAGCTCCTCCTAGTATCCTTAAAATGGTTGCTTAAAAAGTGCCAGTGGAGGGAATTCTCCATAGGTTTGGGATTTCCCTGTCTGAAAAGTACAGTGTCTTGATATATTGCTGGTCCAGAGTCACAGCGGGCTCATCAGAGGTGATATTAATTTAACTCAGCTGTATTTCTTCATCACACCAAGACTGAAAGACTTGAGAAAAGAAGCACCCATTGAACGTGAGGGTCAACAATCCTGTTACTGGTTAGTTTATGAGACCATGATGAGGTCACTGATTCTTGGTCAAGGGTTAAGGCAAAACTACAATAGCCATCTAGCTTTGTTAAAATGGGTGAGGACCTTTTAGAAGACATTCTTTTTATTCCATTGGAAAATACTGGTTCATTAAAAATGAAATTTCCTGAAATGAAAGTTTCTTTAGTCGAAACTTTATTTTAAGAATACTTAATAATTAGGATGGAGTATTCCAGCAACCTTGAAATGTTTGACTCTTTGGGAACAGTTCACTTTGGTTTGTTTTTTCAAAACCTTTCCCTGTGTGTTGTATACTTTGTGTATTGTGAAAATAAGCAGAAAAAAAATTCAGATTTTACTGAAATGGAGCATTTTTATCAGCCTAAACCAACTTCATTTTTGTAATTACAATATGTATACCTTACTAAAAAATTGTATTTATAAATGGTGCTTCTTTTTTGAATGGAGGAAATAAATATTGCAGCATTCCCATCTGATTGTTAAGTTCCTGTACATTCAGCTGTATTTACGTCTACTACTGTGCTGTATTTTCATGGGAGGTCCTATGTCACAAATAAAGCAGTAGGCCAAATTCTGTTTGGATTTGTAGCAATAGCTGCTTCAGCGGAAATTTTCATGTTAGCAAGCCCATGTTGTCTGGTGCATAGCCACATGGTTCAGATAGTGCTGCTGAACAAGACTCAAATGTAGAGTCATACTATACCATCAATTTCTAGGCAGATTCAGTGGGATTCAGGAGGCTTCTGTGGGGAGTTCTAGTTAAATTTGATAACATGATATAGCTGTCATCGGTTGTACAACTTTCCTTTTCATGTTTAAAATGTACTTATAGGAGCTTTACTTAGAGTAGGAAAATGTGTGGTACTCATGTCTGAGTACTGGCTCTGTTCCATATTAAATAATCTGCTAAAGTCATTATGATCTTTGATGATGAATATTATATGAAACATTTTGTGGGGAAAGTAATTTTTAAGAAAAAATATCTGAAACATATAAAATTAGCTCTTTCATTTTTGAAAGGTTAGGAACTGTCCCAGTCTTCATGGAAAGCTCATAACAACATTTCAGGGCCATTTATGACTTGAGTATTAATGATGTGCAGGAAGATAATTCTAAATCTGACTAGTCTCCTGTCCTCCATGGTGTCTCTTTCCTACCAGTCCTCTCAGTAGGTGCAATCCTTACACTCAGTTAGCCTCAATTACCTGTCTCCAACACTTAATAAAAAGAAAATCTCCGTAACAGTAATCACGGACAATGTTAGGAATAGTGGCTGGCACATAGTGAAACAGTACCTCAATGATCAACGAAACAGGAGCACAACTAATGGTTAGGGAATGTGTCTGGACCTGGGGTTCCTCTGACCCTTCAGCACCTTAAAGCAAGCCAACCAAGTCTAACTTTCACATGTACGCAACTGAGTATGGTTGTTTTCTGAAAAAATGTAATGGAAATAATAACTATAGGCATTTTATAGGAGGAATATTCTAAGGGTTGGAGGTGGCCAGATATTGTTGCAATAGAAATAGCAGAGAACTTTATTTAGAACTTTTCCTGATAGTTTTACTAGAGAGAATATGTCTAGCTATGTGTCCTGAATAATTCTAGAAACAACATTTATACAACCATCCTTTATCAAATCTCATATGTTTCCATTATACAAGAACCATTGCTCTATACAGCCATGTTGTATAGGTACTATAGAAATTTATATTCCTCTCTCATCTGACAGAATTTCTGTGTGCTTCCCAACCATATGTATAAATCATCAAGGAAATGCACTGTTCTCTGAGGCAGAAACATCAGAGATTTGGTGCATAACTGAAGATTTAACTACCCTTATGAAATTTCCTGGATATAAGTCAATATTCTATGCTCCAGCAATTCATGTTTCTTTCACTTTGCCAAACAAATTATTTCAGAATTTTGTCCAGCATCTGGTGCAATTTGGATGCTGAATGTTAATCTAAAATTGCTTATCTTTCTAACAATTTCTATTTTCTCCTGCAGTTGTGTGGCTCTATTATTTTGGGAGTCTCTATATGGATACGCGTTAGCAAAGGTGCTCAGCAGGTAAATATATGCAGTCATACCAGAACCATGTAAAATGTGGAAGCTACTGCATACATTTCATTTGCTATCTTCATTTCCACAAATTTGTTGGTTTTGTTGAGATGGTTAGTGTGGGTAAAGATTAATGCAGTTTATGATGTTTAAGATCAAACATGGTGGTGCAGGCAGTCAAATAAAGTGATTAATGTAAGCACAGACGTGACTACAAGAAGTATTTTCTATTTTTATTAATGTAGGTTCTTGCAGATGCACACTGCTTTCTGTTGGAAAACGTGTCTCTCTCTCTCTCTCTCTCCTCTAATGAAAACTAATTACGGTTTTGTTACTGACTTCAGTGTTAAAGAGAATAATGAGGAGCCATGCGGCTCCTAGACTTTTCAATGTCTTTCCCTGTTGGAATAGTATAGTCATATGTATTCCTAAGGTTCCTTCCATATGTCTGTGTAGAATGTTTTTGCTTTTTTTATTTCCTCAGTAATCGCAATTTTGGAAAGGAGCAAGGATTTTTTTCCTTCTATTTTCATTGACTCTTTAAAAAAATCTCATCTTTTGCCCCTCATACTTAGCAAGAGATTTAGAGACCCTAAAATCTTTACTTAGAATTAAAATGTCCTAACAGCCCTTCTGGAGGGGAGAAGAAAGTCCCTGAGGTCCCCTCCTGGATTTTATCTGTATTATTAAATTACTTCAGACTTCGTGACTTTCCTTTTCTGCGCAGCTAAGGAAAATACAATTTTGAGGAGCCCTTGATCTTGCAGAGATGCAGGAGAGGTTGGTCCTGTTGGTGCAAAAGCCCTCTGGCCCTGTGGCCCCTACCAACATTTTTCCAAGCGTGCTCCCTGTGGCACTGGCTCCTGATTCGCACCAACGAGTCTGCTGCCCTTGAGTGAAGCTGAATTCACAGCTCATAGCTCCTTCTCTGAAAGGCACTGCACAATCTTTGTGTGTTGATGCTTCGTTATACTAACAGGAAGAACAATCTGATTCTAAGGTTTAAGCAGTAGACTTTTTTCTCATGAATTTGGGCCATAGAAATGTAAATGAATTTGAAAATGTAATTTGCATACTTTTATTTTCAAAAAGGTTTTCTGGCCATAGAAGTGAATAAATGGCAAGGTGTGACATGGAAACCTTTTTTTAAGCTTTCAGATTAAGCCTTTAGTATAGATTAAGTTGCAAGTGTTCTGGTTACTCTGCTGCTCTACCATAGCCCGTCAGTTAAGAACAATAATTTTAAAGTCTGAATTTTCCTATCTGGAAATGAAAAGACAGCGGAGATAAGACGATAGATTTAGGTATTTCCTGCCACCAGAACCATAACCACTATTATCCTTCCTTATATTTTTTGAGACATTTGCTATTTAGAAAAGCATCCTTAAGTGTGTCCCAAACTGGTTTCCTGAAGTGACACTTGGTACTACTCAAAAACCTTGAATTACGAATAGGGGCAAAAATTGAAAGCATTTTCTCAAATTTTTATCCCTAGGAAGAATATTTCCCATTCAAAAACAATGTATGTTTTGCCTGAGTAATAATTGAAGAGACCATAAGGATTTGGCTGTAGATGAATACAGCTTTCTAAGAATAAGTAACAGGAGGTTCAGTCCAACCTGGAAGAGGAAAGAACAACACATTCCTCAAATTATACTTGTCTATATACCTTTGCAGTTTCCATCAGAAGATAAATGTGACAACTTCCAGACATTTTTGCTAATCTTGGCATCAGCCACACTGGAAAATATTCTTTGAACATTTTTCTCTATTTTGGCCTTTGGTCTTAGTCACTCCTGTGGGAACTGAATAATTTGATTTTTAATAATATTGAGGAACATGAATTGTTTAGTTGAATGTCCCACACATCAAAATATAGTCCTCATCTCTGAGGGTAATATTAGAGATCATGAAAAAGAAATCTGCTTTGGAAAATACATCTAACTATTTCTCTAGTATATCCGGCATTGCTCTGAGAAGTGTTCTCTCAGGAGCAGCCACAGAGTATGTTCTTGGCCTTCTAATGACAAATAGAGGTTTTGTTTCTTTAACATTTGGTTAATGTAGGAGAGATTTCGAGATAATCAGTTTTGCTACTTCCAGTAAAAGGCAAAGATTCATCAACTGAAAACTAACTGAAAGCCACTTTAAAGACAAGAGATCTTTATTCTGCAAAGTTCACTTTCATCTTGTGCAGAGACAAAGACTGTGAAAAGGTTTTACTGAGCTCCCCAGTAAAATCTTTAAGAAGAGGGCATTAAAGGTTTGTTAATTTATTGATCAGAATTTCTTCGTAGTTGCTAATCAGTACATTTATCAGTTTTGAAGCAATTCTCTTATTTTAGGGGATACAGATGTTTTTAGGAGGAGCTTCTTGTATCTGAAAGATTTTTTTCCCCTCTCTTTTCAGGAGCTGGAGATAGACAGCAGCGTATTTGCAGGGGTTGATCTGCTGATAGCCGTGGGCTCCATCATTATGGTCCTTGGGTTTCTGGGATGCTGTGGTGCCATAAAGGAGAGTCGGTGCATGCTGATGTTGGTAGGAAAGAAAAATATTTGACTACCTTTAACAGGCCACAGCTACATTTGATGGATAAAGTCCTTGCAAGTAGCATCAAAGGAGGATGAAGCCTTTTTCTTTAACCAAATGCTTGATTATGATCATGTGTTTTCATTGTTTACCTTGTGCTTGAGCCTCTTCTGAATTTTAGTGCAGAAAAAGTTATGGTGGTCTCATTGACAAGAAGACAGGGTCCAGAGCACCCTGAGCATGTCACTAGCTTTTTTTCCATCCAACCATCACCCAAGTTCCCTCCACCAGACCTCCCCCACTACCTATCACATTTAATTTCATAAATTAACAGCTCCTCCCAGAATGTCCTCCCTGTCCTCCTGCCCAACACCTCTCACCTACACACTGTCCGTCATGCCACTACGCTGGTGTGCACCTTGTTTTGATCTCCAGCTGAGCATACTCTGTCTCGAGCACTGCCTTTTCTCATCACCAAAGAAGGAATAACTAGAGAAGCTCTGACTGGAACTTCATTCTACCTACATGGTTATTCAGGCACATGAAAGCTTAACATTCACTCAGAAGAAACTATATAATCTTTCTCAGAAGTCCTATAGTTTTCTCCCTCTTTTGTTTTCTTCCTAGTTTTTTATTGGACTGCTTCTGATCCTGATCCTTCAGGTCACAGGAGGTATTTTAGGAGCAGTCTACAGATCTCAGGTGCAGTATTATTCTGCATTTTCATTGATGTCTTCCCAGAGTTTTGTTTCTACTCCAAAAACTAATAAAATATTTGGACTTGCAGATTGGACCATCCCTTAACCTCACTCTCCAGGTGAGCAAGGATTTATTGCAAGACACTACAGGAGAACATAAAGAGTTTCAAAAGAATATCCAGAGGTTCCAGAGAACGGTAATTAAAATTAAAAAAGCAAGGAGTTTTCCTATCTGTTTCATCTCTAGCCTTCGTTGTGCTTTGCTTTATGTCTACTCTGCCATAGATTTTAATTTCATTCCCTAGGGATGGGGAAGGGTCTGAATTAAATGCAAGTTAAAACACTACAGAAAAAGCTTCTACTGTCTTGATATGGCATAGTGTTTCTGCAATGATTTGTTTGTGCAATAGTGTTTGTAAAAGTGCTGGAGCAAGGACACAGAACATGCAAGTGAGACTGACAGCTAAGCTTCTCCATGAGAAGGCTGCCTGCTCCTTTGTTACAGCTTTCCCTTCTGAAGGGACATTGCTCCTTCACTGTATCCCAACTAAGAACTATCCAGTTCCCTTATGGTAAGATCACCCCAAGGATAAGGAAAACTTGAGGAGTGTATTTCATTTGGAATATCCTATCGCTATGAAGTTATTAAAAGCCATACTTTACTGTGTAAGAAGGGGAAGAAAATATGTTAAAAGGGAGGTTTGTTTTTGCTGTGCTTATACCTATCCTGGTTCCCCCCACCTGCAGGACCCCAGAAGTTGGACACTTAGTGCCAGCTTGCTCCTGAGTATTGCACAGTGAACTCCCTTGAACCCCACTGTTATCATTGATGGTGTAGACCCCTGCCCCTCTCACTAGTCCCTGTGTCTATATATCGACATAGTGCCTGCTGAGTTTGATTTATTTTAGTCCTTAATGGGTGATGACTTTGAAGGGTAGGCTTAAATAATTCCTGTATTTTTAAAGGTTGCTGGTGTGAAAGGAAGCAAAAATCAATATTTGGGTGGCTTATATTACTTCTGCTTCTTCCCCTTTCCACCTCCAACCCTGTCCTCCACTTCTGAGACAGCTTATTTCTTCTGATATAATAAACAGCTCCCTGGAGAGATGATTGAAGGGTGAGCAAAATAAAAAAAATCCCATAATTATTGTATTAATTTTTAAAGTGACCAGGATTCTTTTTTTATGTCCCATGGTATTTGCTTTTATACATAATTATGTGAACATTTCCAGCTGCTTTTTTAAAAGAGGAAGGACCGCAAACACAAGTCTGCACCCCTGAGCTTTAGTAGCTTGAATAAAGTGGAACATGAAGTGAAACTGCACCTGGTTTAGGTTTCACAAACCCCAAATGGAGACATGGCCTCTTCAGTCCATTTCTAATTTAAAGGGCTAAGCATCATTCAAGGTAGTTATTTTTCTAGATTTCAGAGTTTTACGTGCCAGAATTTTAGACTTTCAGCTCAGCTTTTCAAGATGTGAAATGTGGATGATACTGGAGCTGTTACTTAACATCTGCAAGTAAAACTTGCAGAAAGAAGACTTGATTCTCAAAAAATGCTATACCCAGCTTTTTCCATGTTCCAGTTCCATCCGTTCAATTCCGGCACTGACAATTACTAGCTTTACAGTATGGTAATGTTTTTGAGCACTGTATACTGAAAAACTGATCTTCTTTCCTTGTTTTGGATTTTTTAAATTTTTTTTAAACTTATGCACTTGCATTCTTATAACTGGTATGGAAAAATAAAGGTGTTTGAGACATACCAATTTTAGAAAACTTCCACAAGGGTAAAGATGAAAGGAAATTTCTCCTTCTTGTTCTGCTCTACTCCCTCCCTTGCTCTCCTCAAACTGCAAATCACCATTTTTTTCCTCATCTCTCCATTTCTTACTTCCTACAGGGCCAGTGCTGTGGTTTGTTGAATGGACCTGAAGACTGGGGAAAAAATTTTAATACTCCTCTTGGTGGCTATGATATCTGTGAATGTGAACAAAAGGACATATCAACAGAACTCTGCATTATGCATGGAGACAGGCATATTTATAAAACAGTAAGAAAAATACAATGTTCCACTCTTGTTGATAGAAAGAGGTTTTAACCCAAGGTTGTCTTTGGTGACTGGCATAGCCCCCAGTTCTGTATCTTCCCAAAAAGTCCAAGTTTTGCCTTCTCTACATTAGCCAGAATTCCCCCTATGCCATCTGCTATGTAATTACTGTGCATAAGTGAAATATGCTGCTGTTTCCTCTTCCTAGGGTGCCTCTATTTTAGCTGTGCAGGGCAGCACCCTTAGGACCTCAGCAGTCTGCATGGTTACTATGAGTGAAAACTTGGGGTCAGGGTATGCTTCTGGGTGAAATCAGCACACCAGTTACCCTTTGACTCTCTTTTCTCCCTCAGAACATAACTTTCAGGTTATGTTCCCACCCAGGCTCATTCTGGTGGTAGACGTGTCAGCTCAGAGGCTTTCAAAGGCCTAAGGGATATTGAAAAATGAACGCATTAAATGCAAGACCTTTGGGGTTTTATAGTCCTCTAATGAAAAATCCCACACCCATTTTGCAGGATCTGCTGGAAAGAAACCTTACATGTTGTAGGCTTCATGGCAGTATATTCAAAGAGTAATTTCTTACACCTACAGCCTTTTGTAAAGCTTCTGGCAGCTAATATAATGATAAGGCAAAAATGTCTGATGACAGGCAACAAGAAAGCATAACCAAAAACTGGCAGGTGGGCAACAGAGATGTCAATTAGTTACTTTCAAGATTTATCTGTTTTCCCACATGGAAATTTGGACTCCATGCATACAAAGAAAAATATGAAAATAAAGTGGAATATTAGCACAAAAATAATTGCAGTTTTATAATGTTGGTGGTACTAATAGTTTGCCAATCTGCACCTAGCACAAAGCAGATTTTAGGAAATGTCCATTCTGCTTGTATACTTTTCTGAATGCACAGCTCCTTAGCCAGGTCCTGCCTGAACACTAATTTCCTCCTTGCGTAGTCCCACAGAAGCAAATACAGTTTTAAAGCAAAGGAACAGTCTGGTTAAGTAGAGGATGCCAGAACCCAATCTGGAAAGAGGGCTGTTTTTGGCCACGTTTTAATGCCTTTTTGGCCTCAGGCAAACCCTCAAAGGACACATGAGAAGCCATCAGTGAAATTACTGCAGGTGCAAGATATCGTTCACATGAACACACAGATTTCACGGTGGTGTTAGATGCTACTAAAGACATTCAACTCTTGTGATCCAGGAAAAAAGATTTGAAATTCAGAGCAGTTCTGAGTCAGCTTAAATGAGAAGTTTTTTAGAAGGACGAGGAGGAGAAGACCCATGTGTTTATTGTGAGCAAGGAAATATGGTGAAAGAATATAACTATATTTAGGGGGAAGGCAATTGTAGTGTTGGAACAGTACTGTAGTTTTGATGGATTTAAGCTGTACTTGGCTTTCTTTACAGTTTGAAAAAGGAGTATTGTCAATGCCTGGAAAAGACGTAGTCATTCTAAGAACAGATGTATGCATTTATTAAAGAGGAGAGTAGCTCTGCGTAGAACTTCAGATATGATCACTCTCTTCCTCCCACCCCCAGCCCAAGACCACCAAATATTTGTCAAAATTAATTGATAAACTAGGTTTTATATCCAAATATTGTTAGTTGAGCCTGATTCTAATAATAAGCTTTGAAGTTTCAAATCCAAAGATGAATTTAGTGGGAAACTGGAGTTCACTTTCAGATCTGGTCATTGCTACATTAGCTCTTTCCTAGCACCAAACGATTATCAACTGAAAGTAAGAATAAATGCTTCTTTCCCTGTCAACTGAAAATCATGCAGACATTAGGCATTGCAGCTCTATGTCTTCATTTGAAATTGTGCCCTTTTATGGTCAGCTAATAAATTAATCTTTGTGTTTAGGGAAGCAAATACTAGACATATTTCTCAGACCATAAGGTGCATATAGCTGTGTTCTTTGTGTTTGTTAGCAACAAGCCAGAGTAAAGTCAAATGGCCTTTCTTTAAGAGAGAGAGAGAGAGAGAGCTTGAGAGGAGCTAGTTTAGGGGGTGCATTCCCAATAACCTTAGGATAATATGGCTTACCTATCATTAACAATTTTTTCTTATTTTTCAGCCTTGTGGAGAAGTGATTAGCAAATATCTTAAAGACCATCTGCTTATAATTATTGGGATCGCCTTTGGAATGGCCGCTATTGAGGTACCAGTATACACCATTAAAATATTTAGTAGCTGTCAAGCAATATGTTCTACTGAGAAATACACTGGGAATGGGATTCAAACACCTGGCTTGCTCAGTTAATAGACGAGGGAAAACTACCTCTCACCTTAGCTATAATCTTACTGTTATTTCATAGAAACAGTATATGGCTGCTGAGCTGTGAACTTCGGGTGGGCACAGACCACCCTGCTGCCTCTATAAATGTGTCACACGGGGCTTTTTCTGCAAAGACTTGACAGTCCTGGAGCCAGGCTATGCCTTGACAATGAGCCCTATGAACAGAAGGGAGTGCAGATACCCAGCCCCAGGAAGACACAAGGCATTATAGCCAGTCTTTTCCTTCTCTTTTCCTTCTTTGCTTGAGAAAGAAGTAATCTCATAAGAAAACTTAGACCCTAAACTGCACATTCTTATCATGGAGAAATTATGGCACAAAATTATTACTCTGATGCATAATTTAGCCATCAAAATGGTGCCCGAATGTGCCTGAGTGCACATCTGTGCTGCTCCATATATTCCTGTGTGTTAAAAAAAAATAGAATATGGGAGATCTTTATTTTAATTTCTTCATTATACACTGAGGAATAACATGCAAAATTTTCTCCTAAGAGAGGAGGAAAAACAGTGAGGTTATCCAGTCAGCTACTTGTTGAATGATAGGCTTTGATTAGGAGAAAATGACAAAGAAACAGGGGATTTCATCATGTTGCTTTCTTCAGACATTTTCTTTTCACTATTCCTCTGTGGTTTCCCTCCTCCCCCGCCCCCCGCTGATGAATGTTTGAGGGAACAGCAGAAATGACAGAGATTGCTGTGCAGAGTTCAGTCTGTTATTCCAAGTGAAAACTTCTTAACATCATTGGCAGGGGATTGCTCCTCGTGGTAGAAGAGTGGGCAAGCGCCCCACCTCAAAAATACATTTCCAGGAAAATAGTAGTAAGCGGGGAAGAGTTACGCAGCTGCAGCACTGGGAGAGGACAGACCCCTGACTTCTTACTCAGCTCAGACTTCATGTTATTTAAGGTGCGATATGTGGGGGGTCTGGTCTCTTGCCTCTATGTAGACTTTGGAGGGAAAATAGGTGAAATACACCAATACTAAAAGACCTTTAAAAATGTAATAGAGGTGTCAAATTGCCTCTGCATCCCAAAGGTAAGTTATAAGTCACTTTGCTCTAGTTACTGCAGTTGCGTGAGTTGTAGACTTTAGTTCATTGGCCATCATTCTTCCCTGTTCTCCAGCTGACATTTGCTGTGGTGGCTGCCTCTCCCAATCATAAAAGGATTAGAAAACAAGATGAATAAACAATATGAGGCTCAGCTGGTACAAATTGTCAACTGGAAATTGATACTTGATAAACATTTCCAAAGATATTAAAGTATTGTGACTTCTCAAGTAATTGCAAATCAAAGGCCACATGCTTAGCCACCTCTCTGCTCTGGAAAAACCCAGACAAAAAGAAGTGGACAAGGAAAAATGCTTTTCCATAGCTTTACCCCCCACCTCTGCCTGCTCCACTATGCCACTTGTGGGCTGTTAATGGTTTCAGCTCACCCTGTTAGTGGAGATGGGACTGAGAAGAAGGACCCAGTTTCACTCGGACACAAGTGAAAACGCGGGCATGGTGTATCAGGGAAGCCCTCTCTGCTTATTGCAGCTGTGGGACCATCCTCTTGTCTCAGCTGTACCCCTGCGTTCTGTAAACTCTCTGCTGGCTCTTCCTTAAATAATGAAGCACCCTGGTGGTCATGACTTCATAAGTGTCAGTTGGATATTTTCCACTTTTGTGAAACACACATTTTAAATTTTAAATCCAGAAGGAAGCTTTCTGATTATCTGATCTGACAGCTGTCTGTCACAGTCAGTGGAATTTCACCCAGTAATTCCCACTACAGAAGATGACCTGACTGATTTTTATATTTCAAGCAATAGCTTCTTTAGTGAACACAGTGTTTCTATCCCAGATCTATTACTGATTAATATAGAATATTTGTTGCATGATTATTTGCCTCTCAAAATGATAGCATAAGTGTGTATATATATATATACACACACGTATGCCTTTACACATATATTTACATAAAAGAGAGTGACAGTGGAAGAGAGCTTTCAAAAGGAAACAACTTTTAGAATATACAGTGAAATCAGAAAGTTCCCTCAACTTTCTTAAAAAATAAAAGGTTGAATTTTTGTTTGAATTTCTTGAAATTCTCAGTATTTGCTTCTCCACTGCAACTAACAACTGCATTTGAAACCATCAGAGTTAGAGGGTTCCCCATCCACAGAGGCAATCCACCTTCTAAACAAATGAAAGTTTTCCATCACGTTTGCAGTCTTACCTGTGGTACATACTGATTTCATAAAAATGGCTATATTATAGAGTTCTATGCTCTTTAAGAATTACATTGGAAAAGATCTTCTGCATAGCAGATTTAGCCTTCATATAAAACCAAGACATTTGCAAACAGAATGTTTCCATTGTGTATCGGTTATATCTTGAGATTTCCAGGACTGCCAAGTAATACCATAAATGTCTTTGTTTTCCAGATTCTTGGTTTGGTGTTTTCTATGAGCCTCTACTGCCAGATCAAGAGAAAATGAAACTGTGGAAGTGTCAGAACGATGTCAGCAGCCAAATCAAAACCTTTGTAGATAGAAGGATATTTGGCTTGGCACATTCAGATAATTCAGGCTGCATGTCCCAGGCAGCTGTTCTGATGAAAACGGCAGCCCTTGTGCGCACGGATGCTTCACAATTTGCAAAATGACCTCCTTATACTTCATAAGAATTAATGATGTGAATGTGAATTTTTATTTGCAACAAACGTCTTTGTTTATGTTTCTGCAGAGTTTATTTTGTCTGAAGACAGAATTTAAGCCATGTTGAGATTCTGAGTTCACCATGCAGTGTGTCCACAAGGGTGTTACACCAGCTGTAGCAGTTACCAGCACCAGCTGCAAGCGATCTTGCAGTGGCTGACTGGTCAGGGGAATCACATGCCCCTGGGCAGTTTTGCTTGTGGGTCAGAGTGTTTTCATTGTGGGTCAGTCTGACACCCAATACAGTATTTATGGTCAGGGTTTTGATACTTGTGAGGAGCAAAGGGACTAACTTTTGTCCAAATAGCAAAGCCACATTTCCCTTTAGGGATGTTTATATCAATATCTTGGCAGCTGAGATGGTCATTCTCAGGTGCAAATGATGCTTAGATTGCATACAGGAGTTGGATTTGATGGCATGTGTTTTGGAAATATGCATCAAGGGTGAAATCCAAGCCCATGTGGAGGCAAAATGTACACAGAAGTCATGTGGATGAGACTTAACCCAGAGCAGCTAAGGCAAGCAGTGGTCTCCACAGTGGGTGGACAACAGAGGGCATGGCCAGGAACACAGCAGCAGCAACATAGAACATACATGCCTTTGGATTGACCAGTGCTTCCGAGTGTTGGGGCATTGACAGCCTGACTGCCTAAGGCACTGACAGCCCTGACTGTCTCTGCTCAGCACCTCAGGGATTCCTGCCACCCTGCCCATATCGCAGGACCCCATGGCAGCTCCTTGGAGCCATCGATTCCTGCCCCTGTGATGCTCCAGTAGGGCCAGTCTTCAGTTTCCCACAGCCCTGCCCTTGCTTGGCCATAGCATTCCACCAAGCTAGGCCCACTCATGGGCCCATGTCCTGGCCTGGCCTCAGCATATCCCATTCCCAAGGAGGTGCCCAATACCTGGGGCTGAGGCTGCCCCAGTGCCCCCTAGCTGCCCTGGTCCTGGCTGGTGTGGTGGGATGGGCCCTAGCTGCCAGGCCTTGCCCTGCCACCCCAGGGGAGTTGTGTGATCCTAGCCCCCAGAGAACTGCTGACCCAGAAAGTAAATCACATAGGGGAGCGTATTTTTGAAAGGTATGAAGATGTTTACTGATGCCCATAGGGATCTGCTGAGGTTTTCCACAGCATGCTGATGTGTTCAGGCTAGATGTTTTCACCAGTCTCACTGGGCGTCTTCTTCATCTTTAGGAGCAGCTACAAATACCTTCAAACAGCTGCTCTTAAAAGTAAACCAGTACTGTGATGGTCTAGATAAAGACCCCCTCAAGTACCCACAACTGTCTTGAAGCACATCTAGACTGCTCCCAACTTGACTGAGCAATGCAATTGTTTCTTATAAATACATTAAAAGCTTTCCTTGAGCAGAGACTATTGTTCATGCCTTACACTGACAGGACTGGGTTCAGGTAAAATTCATCTGCAACAAGCACTTTGTTTTAAAACACACCCAGAGGAAAGATTTCTGTTCCATCCCCTACCCTTTCCCTAACACTCAGACCATTAGGCCAAGCAGTCAGAGCTGCTGTCAGAAATTCGTGTGTCTCCCAGGAAAGACGTCTAGCTAGCAGACAGTTCTGGCACTTGCTCTTTCCTCCTCAGAAACTGTGCCAGAAGAATTCAGTCTTTGTTGGACCGAACAAAAAGTGTGAGTTCCTAACCCAGCCATACTCACTGGGAGGAGAAACACTGGCTTCTGGTTCTTCCTCCTCCCCCGACTGTTTTTTTTCTATGCATATCTTACCCGTGATTTGAAATCCTGGGAGCTGAGCATGAATCATGGGATGAGCAGATCATGGGATGGCAACTGGACTCCTGGAATGTCACTACAGAAAAAAATGGGAGTAGAAAGACAAAAAGCAGAGAGAATTGCATCTTCCTCATCCTTCTCCTCCTTCCCATGAAAAGGAAGGTTCTTCTCTTTGAACAAAGGACCAGAGGGTATCCCATGGTGAGGGGGCTCAAGTCATGGATGCCTGATGAGTGGACATGAAAATAAATTACAGATGACCCTTGCTATCAGAAGTAGTTAGCTTCAGGCAGCTGTAAACTTTGGTATTACTGCTATGGATTTGTGATAAGCATTGACACAAGATTGGCACAAGATACGCCGGCTTGGACACCAACCTGGTCCTGTACGCTACTCTGAGGTAGACAGATGTAAAAAAGCAAAGTGTTAGTACATTCTAAATTTGGTTGTCTACAGACTTATTTTGGGTACAGCCCTCAAAATACCCTCCTCTTGCATCAAAATAATGATGTATGACACGTTAGACTTTTTGTTAAAACTGTGGTGCCATTAAAATCAACAGCAAATTGTTGTCTTCAGTGAGGAACTCTGACACAGGAGTTTCATCTGGAGCTAAGAAGAATAGTTCCTCTATTTATTTAAACAATTTGCCTTTATTTTCTGATGCTCTAAGGAATAAAACTAGAGTACTATGACTATGAGCTACCACGGCTGTTTAAAAGGGAATGAATAAATGAAATCATTCAGAATATTTCCAACTTGCTGCTGAAGTGGGTTTGCCTCTAAAACATGTCCATACCATTGATCTTGCAAAACACATTTACCTGTAATGTTCTGTAGCCTCAAGTTTTCTTCTCCGTCTCCCCCTGCCATATCTGAACTACCTGCTTGGAGTTCCCTTATAATCAATGAAGAGAGATAAGCAGATCTAGGATTTAAGCCATCTCATTCTAAAATAGATGTCCAAAGATATTAGGTGAGTAATTTGCATTGCAGATAGGTGAAGCTGAAGTGAATTAATCCCACCCTTCAATACTGAACCTGTTAAAATCAGCAGAGGTAGTGGTCAGTCAGGAAAGAGTATTGGTGCAATATTCCATGAGGGTGCACTGGTTATTCATTGATCCATTGACCTTTCTTCTCAGTCATAATCCAGCCCTCTAGGAAATGAGGCCTGCTTACTTTCTGGGCTGGTAGGATGAGATTTGTCTGCTGTGCAGGAAAGTCCCTCTCAGAGCCATGGTGCTATAACAGAGATCCCAGCACTGCTCCTTCACGAGGTCCTCTTGGTGTTCTTATCAGAGAACATTCTGAGTTGACTCAAAGTAACAATGGAACATTTTTCTGAGCCCACATTCACTTTTTAATCATAATGTCTGGAATTGTTGAAATGGAATTTGGCAATAAATCCTTGACAGAACAATAACACCATAAGGGTTTTCTTTTGTGGGGTGTTGGGGAAGAGTGTTTTTATTTTTTCACAACAATCTCATCCAAGGTTACGTTCTTCTCAGTGTTACCCAATAAAATCAAGCAGACAGAGGAAAGACACATGGCCAAGACCTTGGTGTTTTGGAAAAGCAAAGGGAGAAAAAGCATATATCATTATGATCTTAAATAGTAAAAGACAAGAGTGGTAGGAAGAAAGCCAGTGTGTCCCTACCTTTTCTAGGAGAGCTTAATCCCAGCTTAAAACTAAGTCTATTTAACACAGACTAGTGGTTCATCACATCAAAGGCAAACAGCTATTTAATGGCAACAGATAAGATGTCGCACCTGGGTCAAACTGTCTCCAAAGAATGATTTGTTATATCATTTAAGGGGTTTCAGGGGTACATATTCTCAGAAGGGACTGCATTTGGGGAAAAATATAGCATGACTAGAAAAACAAAGATGTTATAGTTTATGATAAAATATGAGTCAATAAAACAATGTCAGGGATGCCATAAAAAATGAAAGGAGTATTAATAAGTCCATTATTGGAAACAAAAAATACCCAATGAAGAAAAAGACAGAGGCACATAGACAAACAAAAAAGAAATCTGATTTTGAAAAATGATAGAAGAACGAAGCACAACAGGACAGGTCAATTTGAAAGAAAAAAGAATAAAGATATTGAGCTTATCAAGACCCAAGGGTTTGCTGCACTCAGTTCAGCATGAGGGGAATTTGGCCCGGATCCACGTTCGTGTCCTGGCTGTCATGTTGAAAGCCAGTTCAACCTGTTCTTCATGCAATGCCAAATCTGGCCCATATTTGACTAGCTGTGAGGGCCCTTAAGAAGCCGATGTCACAGCTGGGGCTCATCAGAGCAGAGCTAGTAGCCAAAGAATACCCCAAGAGACAGCTCTGCTAGTTGTACGGCCCCTGGGGATGCCTGCAGAGTGAGCCCAAGGAGCTGAAACTGCTGGCTTTCCCTCTGGGAGGACGCCGGGCACTGTAGGTCTGGCCCAAGTACATTTAGAGACATGATTACGTGAGGCAGCAGGGTTTATTTTTAAATGAAGATGGAGGATTATCGGTTTAAATTCTGAAATAGGATTGAAACCACAAAATTAAAAGCCAATTCTTTGGCTCTGCTGCAAGACCTGTCCTAACTGCTTAGCCAAAAGTTTTCTGGCATGGAAGAAACTCAGCTGATTTAAGCTAGATTCAACCTTCCTCAACTGAAGAGATATTTGACTTTGGGCTGTTTGGGTGAACCGGTTATAGAGCAAATACCTAATGCTGCTCCAGGTCAGTAACAAAACCTACCCCCGCAAAGGTTCAGGCTGGGGAAGCTGTCTGAATGCTGCTTCTCCAGGAGGGAATTGGGCTGTGCTGACCTGTGGAAACGTTACATTAGGACTTAACATTCAGGGATCAGAGGTAGGTTTGGATCTCTTCTGGCTTTATCCATGGCAATTTGATTATTCTTGATAATTATATAGCAAGAAAACTGGCAAGTTTTCTACCCACCCCTGTCAATAGCAATCTTCTCATCCTTTCACTGAAGGGTTCTCTTTTTGTGCAACAGTTTGGATTAAGT